AATACTGCAAGAGAAGGTCATTAACTCTAAAAAAAAAAAAGCCATCTGCATTTAAAAAAAATTGAAACAGTTCTGCTGATCTTGATTTTTGTAAATGAGAGTTTTACACAACCTACATTTTTGGACAAATGTGCATCCCTTGAATTTTCCTAACCTCCTCTTAAACAGACGTTCTCCGAGATTTCCAGAAAGAACATACACTTCAGACTAGTCATGCTATCCACAGAATGCCTTTTCTGCTCCATGCAAATAAAGATGAAAGTGCATTTATCCTACTACAAATAAGGTGACTCTCAAAGAAGTCAGAAGTGCTAATTTCAGCTCTTTAGACCACCTCTACTTAGGATGCCTTTCACTGAGCAACTTCATGTCTCAAAATATCTATGCTGGTCTCAAGCAAATGTGGGGTTAGATTCCAATCTTACACCAGTATAAATCTGCAATAAAGCCACATAAACTGATGGAATTTTTCCAGATTTAAAGCAGCACAATTCCTATTAAAATCTGAGATTTTATATAGTTGCTATGGGATGAATATGCTTTAGATTTCAAAAGTTATCTGTTTGTACACAATATGGTCAGTTGGGAGCTTCCTTTTTTTCCTCCTATTTTGTGGAATAGTGAAGTATACATATCCTGTAATTAAGTATCTGAAAGATGGAACACTATATAGTAGTTCATTAAAAACAATTACTTTTATTCCCAGTTTATGTACTAAATGTTATATCACCACCAAAAACAGAGAACTGGATATTAGTACTACTTACCTTAGTACAAAAAAACCAAAACATCTTATAAGTGACTACTGAGGACAAACTACAATGGAAAACCTGGACTACATCTGATCAGAAACAACTTAATAATGGAGAAGAGCAGATCAGCACATAGTCGGTGGAATTTTCTACTGTGTTTAGGTCCATCATAAGCCACATACATAACTTAAACAACAATGAAGTCTTCAACATAATTCATAAAATGGGTTTTAAGGGAGGCACACACATTATTCTGGCCCTCTGCACAGGGATGAAATTTATCCAGTATTTAGAGCAACCTGACAAATTTGCATGGATATCCACACCGCTAAACTTTTTAGTAAATCAAAACGTTTTTTTTTTTGTTTTTTTTACACACATACCTACCAGGTTGTGCCTACCTATTTGTATGTTCTATGTACCCCATTGTAGTGATCAGTTAACAAGTAGATGATAATAGGGAATGTCTTTTTTTTTTAAAAAAATGACTAATGACATTAAATGTTATGGGGGACCAGAATGTTTGTTCTTTGGAGGGCATCTCATTAAGTTATATTTTACTCTCTCACACACACACACAAAAATCACAGAGTTAACCTGTTTTGTTGTTCAGAAAATCTGGTCAAGTTAATCTTTGATTTGTCCCTCCTCAAACCACTCTAACCTAATAGCTTTCATGCCTAGCAACATAGGTTCAGTGGCCTGTTCTCATACTAACTCTGCTCATCAATAATGTGGTTTTCAGATATATAGTAGTAGTTTGCACTTCTAGAGAGTGTCTTCTGTGTGAGGGTCTCAGAGTGCTTTGCAAACAATAATGCATTTAGCCTCGCAAAGTCTCTAAAAGATAGTTTCGCCAGCTGTAAAATGGGTATCATATCCTAACCACAAAGATGATAAATGACTTTCCCAAGGTCACACAAGAAGTCTCTAGTAGAGTAAGGAATAAAGCCCAAGACTTCTGTGTTTCAGCTCTCTACCTTAACCACAAACAATCTTTCTGAGGTTCAGATTCCACACTGCTATAGGGAAACGTGCTTGCACATCTTGATGCAGGACTGGAGCCTTAGATACCAAGGAAAATATCATTGCTCATTATTAAAGTGTTTAACACTTGGTATAAATCTGTGCTCTAGCTGTCTCTTAGCTATTAACAACTTTGCTGCTGACTGATATAACTGGTACATCAGACAAGGAGCGCTAACTCCAGTGCTACCCATGTACCTCACTATGCAACATTAGCACAGAACACAATTGCATAATTGCACAGAAACAGTAGATGGCCCCTATGAGCCAAATGGCTTAGTAAAACCTGAAGGGTTATATCACGGAGGTAACTGAAAGTGGATATGAGGATAGCTACTATTAACAACCACATGCATTGTAATCTCAGCCTCATATGCCAAGTGCTAGCAATTCACATCTAGTTTTTTGGTCTACCTTTTTTTTAAAACATTACTTGTTATTTTGGGTCCCTCAAATTTTGGTGCCAATCTTGAAACACTTGATAGGTGGGTGCTCAGCTCTTCCTGTGAAAATGGATTTCTTTAAAGTGTCTCCCTGTGCGCACCTAAAAATTGAAGAAACTAAAATCACTTGTCACTTTTGTGTAGGCTTTTCTGCCAATAGCAGCATGGGAAATGCTGGGGTTAATACACTGAGATTTTGAAGAGGCCTGAATTCCGTTATTAAAAAAAGATTGGACAACATCTCAAGTACCTTATGTCTTATCCATTCAGCAACAATAACAGCTTTTGTCAACCATGTCCGACTGCTAAACATGTAGTTATGAGTAAATAAAGCCAGAGGCTCCAATTTTGTTCAGATGGAGGAGCAGAACTGGCAACTTGCCGGAGCCTTGGGTTGCAATTTGCACATAATGGAGCAGATTGCAGCCATTCCTATATTTAATCTGAAAATGCAGCCATATGGAAAAGTTCAAATATGAAGCACTCCATCATAATCAAAGAAACCTGTGGCTGCCTATATTTGTAATCTGCAGGTGGAACTGCACAGGCCAAATTTTCTAAAGTGCTCAGGCCCCCGCATCTCCTGTTTACGTTCCCACATTAGATATACAGATTTTCAAATGTGCACAGCACCCAGCAGTCCCCATTCAGAACATCAGATGCCAAGCAGTAGAAAATAGGGTCCTACAAGTCCCAGAAAACAACATTCTGTCTTCATCTGAGCAATCTCACTAAAAAAATCAAAGTGAGGCCTCCAATCTCCATGAGCAGCCTCTCTGATGGCCCAGAGTTCTACAAAGTTACTAGTGTGATACCATTCATTTTGATAACCATTTTGACAAGAAAGCCTAGATCAGTCAGAGTGAATCAATAGCCCAAACCTCACCTTTACCTGGGGAAGATCATCTCTGGTCAAAGATTCTGCATATCGCCAGAGTCTGTTTCAGGTGAGCATGATCAGTCTAGATCAGGTTATTCTTCTCCTTATTACAAGTGACTTATTGAGACTGAGGAAGGTCTCTTCAGGCCTGGTTCTCTAAGGAAGATCCTTGATTTACATGCAATTTGCTGAATGTGGAATGTTCAGAACAGAGCTTAAAAAAAAACCCACCAGGTTACTATCTGCTATACGCTGACATTAAAGAGACTATGGCACTCTCCATAAGAGTAGGTTTCAGAGGAACAGCCGTGTTAGTCTGTATTCGCAAAAAGAAAAGGAGGACTTGTGGCACCTTAGAGATAAATTGGTTAGTCTCTAAGGTGCCACGAGTCCTCCTTTTCTTTTTCCATAAGAGTAGGGATTTGTCCATCACCAAAAAGATCTCCCCTCTCCTGACTTCTCCCACCATTACGTAGTGCATACACTGTGAACCAGTAGTCTGCCTGGCTGCTGCTTTGCTAGATAATCACCTTACCATGGACATAAGCAGCACATCAGGGCGGAGATTCCTGTGTGTATTAATGCCTTCATCCTACAGTCAGTCATTCTACTGTCCTTATAATAGTGCTTTCTACTTGGGAAGGCCCATTGACAACTTGGGTACTTCGCAATAAACTTGGTAATAAGTGTTTACTGAATTTGTGAAGTACATGGGCATTGGGAGGGCTGGGGGGTTGGGGGGGAGAATGAAAAAGCCCTACATAACCAAAATTATTATTACTGCTAAAATCATCTTGTTTCTGCATTCCCATCACCACTGATGTGTATGTAGGAAGTTACGTGGGACATTTCTGAGGAATTTTACCTAATCACATTTTACCGATTCTCAAAGTTATGCCCATTTATACATACAAACGTTTGATGACTTAACACTGTGCATTTGAGAATAGAAAAGAAGTCCTATGGCCTTATCTTTCTTTTAGAATTCACTCTCTATTTCACATATTGGCCACTGCACAAATAAACAATCATTAATAACTACAAGGCTGGACAGCCATTGCTTCCCAACAGAACAGCCTGCCAATACTCTGTGGATCTGGAGATATATTGCTGTTCCTGCTTCCTCCAGGAAATCTTTTCCAAGGACCTACACCCTAGTCTAGCTTACTCAGATTCTGAAAATTGTTGTTTATGACTGTGGCTACAATCCTTGACCCAAGCAGCACTGCCAGGAATTAAACCACAGTCTATAGAGAGCAACAAGATCCATAAGCTAGAGTTTTCTAGCATTATTAGTCTACTATATGAGAGTGCTAATTCTAAGACAAACGAGAGAGCTATGCCAGGATAATACTTCAGATGCTGCAAATCATGTTTATATTGTTAAACCTTTTAAAGTCTGGCATACTTTTAAATGGATAGCATACCTGTTAGTAGGATAAAGTCCGAACTGCTAAATAAATAAAATGATGAATATCCTAATACAGCTGGGCAGAGTGTTCCTGCAAGCATAATGTACATATATCAATTTCCTACTGAGCTAGCCCTGACTTTCAAATTTCCTTTAATCCTCTTATAGTAAACACAGTGCAGCTCTCTGGCAAACAACTGTAAAATTCTGCCTGTAATATCATATTTGTCTGAAACAAAACCGTGAGCACAGAACGTGGCTTGACTTGGAATGGCACAATAAACTGTTTTCCAAAGAAACTTAATTTTTAGACAATATTACATTTTAAACCAAAAAAAAAAAAAAAAACCACACACCAAGGCACATTTTACAAAGGGCAGAGTGATTATTTTTGATAAGTATTCCAGATTGTATTAATGTACAATATTTTTAAAGGCAACTACAGAAACACTGAAATTGTCAACATTTTCTAGCTAGAAGCGCTGTACCTGGATTAAAGGATAATAACTGGCACCTTCTCAAAATTCCATATCCAATCATATATAGCAGCCTGTGACAAAGCTTTTTGCTCAGTGTTGCCCTATAAAGAAGAAACGTAAGGAGAAGAGGATATTTTTAAATTAAGGAAGCCAAGAGGGATTTATTTTGGTCCAATTTGTATTTAAAATCTCTCATAGTTTAGAATGAATTTCTGATAGACAAAGGTGGAATTTATCTTAGAATTTTAAACAAAGACCTAAATTCATACCTGGTATCATTTCATTTAAGACAGTAAGGTGAATTTGGACTATAGTGTCCATGATCTGAAGCTATTCTTCTGCCTTTGACTTTTCAATCTCGGATGAAGTGTTGCATTTGCTCAACTGTCTTAAGTGATCTGGCAAGGAGAGGGAGTCATTGCAGAAAAGAGAAGGTTTAGACAAAACAAATACACAAACACACACTGCACATTTCCAGCATTTTCACTGGTCTCCCTGCTATTTTTGACTAAAATGAGTTTTCTTTCATAATCTATGTATGTGACATCTAAAGTCTTTGGTTACAGATAGGCTTGTGATGTCATAAATTCTACATTAGGAATTCACTTCAGGATCAATTTAGAGTGACGGATGGAAACGTCTGGGAAAGAGTACATTTCTCCTTCTGTGTCTACATATGTTATTTATAAAGTGCCTATAGCTTTGTCTAAAATTTGTAAGCGTCATTATTTGACGAATAAATGGTCCAAACTTGCTTCATTGAAGTCTATGCCAAAATATCCATGGTCATCAGTAGGGAACCATCAGGCCCAACGTGTCAATTCTCTCCCCGGTGTAAGCCCCACTAACTGCAATAGGCTTTCACCAGGGATACTTTTAGTCAAAATCTGAATGATAATTTCCCAATAAAAACCATGTGGCTGATAAACGGATCTATCCAATAATGCATGTATTTGAACATATTTTATCATATTTTCATTTGACACACCTCCTTGTTCCTAGGACCAGCATTCCAACCTGATGCCCAGCTGCTGGTGCCCAGTGCATTAATAGGTCAGAAACTGGCACAAAGGAGGTGGGTCATGTAAGAAGTGCATGCCTGAACTGAAGGCATAGGTCAGCAGAAAGTTGGGTTGGTATATATTTTGTATATGAGTTTTTGCCTCCTCTGACAACCCCTCTCTGACCTGCTCACCAAAATCTTAACATTGTTAGTTTCCAGATATCATCCACATGGAGATTGGCCAGTGTCCTGATGTTTATGGGCAGCAGATTCTGCTTCATTTCAATCCAACTGGTTTTGGCTTCACTGGAAGCAAGATCTGGCTTTACCAGGGAAAACTGTTTCTTGTCAGGATTATTTCTATAGTACACTGACAACACTTCTGTTTATCTTTCATTAGTGCGAAAGCAAAATATCAGACATTGCTTTACTACCCTTAAGTGCTATTATTATAGCAAGGTAGCATAGAGGATAACTCGGGGTTGTAATCCATGATAGACCTCCACACAAACAAAGAAAGGCAGCTAGTTTTCAATGGATTATAAGATTAAGTTCCTTTAGACTTCAGAATCACAGTTCTAGCACTGGGTTGAATAATATTTTTCATGTCAACAATGTTTGTACAAGACAAAGTCAACTAAGCATTTTGCATGAGCTCTCGGGTGTTCTCTGTTTTCTTTTTCACCTCACTGTTTAAATAAATTATAAGAGAAGAGAGCTTTAATGTTGCACTGCTGATAAATCCATAGCATGAACGTTATATTTGTGCTGTGGTGATCACACACTAGAGAAAGCGGTTTTCAAAAAATGAAATTTGGGGGGTAAATACCGTCTTTTCTTAGGGTATTTCAATTATCCTCATTTCTGTCTTTAGAACTGCTTTCTTAGTATGCTATAACCAGAGATAACTGATCTTTAGGAGGGTTACTGTACTTGGAATATTAGAATTTTAATTTCCTTTGGTTTTCCTTATAACTGGATGAATGTCTTCAAATAAATGTCTCCTAAATATTGATATTAAAATAATCTGAAATGGCAGAGGAGTTTATTATTTCATTCCTTTGAAGATGACGTGCATATTAAAATTAATATGACAATGGTGATGCAGTATCCAGGGAAAGCAGACTTTGCTAAATCTTCCAGTACCTTAGCAATAACTTCGCATTTGTCCCTGTCTCACTCTTATAAAGACCAATGTTAAAAAAAAAAAAGGGGGGGGGGGAGTCAGACCAGGGAAGAACAAACAAGTAGGCTTTCTATGGAAATAGCATGTGGAATAGTCTTGCAAGGGTAGCTTAGGTAACTACACCATTTATGATATTTAAATGTAGATTGTGTTATGTTTTCATACACAAGTAGCAAAGCAGACTAACACTACAAGAAATAGTTCCTATAAGAGAGCACAGTGCATCCTCTGAAGCAGGCTGCAGCAATTCTGAGAACAATGGGAACGGAGCAGATGATCTCTAGTCATAGAGCTGTTCCATATTGAACGTCTATGATTTTGCAATTAGTGAATTATAATTCCTAGGAATAGTCAGTCCAGTCATTCTGGCATTCTTAGGGCAACTATGAGGCTCTGCACTGACTTCTCAGCTTTATATGTACAACTTATACCTGGGATATAGTGGAGGGTATATGCACAGTAGGTACAATACAGATATTTTGAAGAAAAGACTATACCCACTATTTCACAGCATGACAGCTGTCCTCTGCTGCTGGATTAAAATGGTTTTGGTCCCCTAATAATAGGGCTGGTCAATTTTTGGTGGAAATATCCAGTTTTCATTTTTAAAAAAAAGACCTCAAATATCTCAAAACCAAAATGTTTTGCGTTTATGGCTGAAAACTGAAAATTTTCAAATCTGAAATGCCACCACAGGGCCTTCTGGGAGTCGTTGTTCGGAGGACCTCATGACCCCAACTCTCCACTAGGGTCCACACTCTGCAACCAGACCACCTCTCTCATGATGTGCTACAGCCAGGAACCCCCCCAGTGCACTGCAACAGCTCATAAAGCAGGGAGGCCATGCTGCATCATGGGTGACATAGTCCAGCCAGGGATCTTGGACTGTAGGATAGAATGGGGTATGAGGCAACCAAAGTAAACTTCCAATAGGCACCATGGCACATTTCTGAATAGAAATTTTCAGTGTTCTGTCAAATTTTTCCAACATTTCCAAATTTATATTTTTGGGTGTTGGCCAATATTTGTTAGGTTAGATTTTTCACTTAAAAAAAATCACAAAAATGTGTATGAAAAAAATATCTCACCAGCTCTCCAACAGCAGGATCTTGCATGAAGGGTGGGACAGGAATACAATTAAAAAGCAGTGAATATAATTAAAAAGCTTCTACCACTGGCTATGGACTAAGGATGACAAGCAAACCAACAATCACTTAGTCAGTCTTCCACTCACAATCCCAAATTCTATTTTTACACTCCCAAGACAAACACAGGACATCACTGTTCAAATAAATTCTTACTATATTGCTCGTCATCTAGCAGATTTACCTGCTGCCAGACAATGCATCTGAAGTCTTAGACCAGAGTAATTCATATCAAATTTTCTACCCTTTTAGCAGTGGGGAAGAGATGTGTGTGCAGAAGTGGGACAGGGAATGTGAAGAAGGCAGCTGCGACAGCTGCAGGTTCCTGTTCTGCTAACCTGGCAAAAACTCTTCCATAAGAAGAGGCTCGGTGGACAGTTGAGCAAGACCCAGGGGGTAGCCACGCTCTCTGGGAAGGGAGCCTAGAGTCTGCAGCAAGTTTCTAGGGCTCCATGCTTGTCTGATCTGCATTGATTCCCCCAGATGTGCAGCTGTAATAAGGAAGCAAATAGCACCATGATGTATAATCCTGTTGTGCTGTTTTGGAGGAGAATAGTGGGGTCTGATCCACAAAGGCGTGCAGTTCCCCGAATTCAGCAATAGATCCACAGGATTTGGTTTTGAGTTTCCTGCAGACTCCTTAACTATATAGCATCAGGGGAATCCACCAGGTGTTTGTAAATAATTTTCTCCTGCTGTGGTTTTGTTTACCCCAAATGGAGTTTATCTGGGTCTAGTGGGTTTACACCTTCATAAATTCTATCCTTGGAATCTAGATTTAGCTTTGGCCACCATTAGTCAGTATTTCCCTGGATGCTCAATGGACATCTCAGATATATTTTTTTCATTCAAATCTTTTCCATCTGATGCAGCGGAAGCAAAATAGTTTAAATCCCTTCTAACATAATAAACATTGCAAATTAAGTAGATCTTAAAGAGGGATGGAAGAGTGACTCAGGGCACCCAAAGCGACTGAATGTATAAGTCTGGAATACAGAGGACTACATCCTGTATTGCAGGTTAATGGATTTTCACTTTGTGCATTTTTTCTATCTTCATTGTGATCAGATTTGACTCCTCCACATAAGCACTTAGATATCTTCCTATGGAAGTGTGAAGTATTAACTGTCATTAAAAGATAAATCCTCTTCCCTGTGCAAAGCCCAAGTGACCGAGCATTGTGTAAGAGGTTACTGTGGCAATCTATGAGGGTTGGGGGGAGTAGAATCTACCCCATTCCTCCCCCAAATGCAACATGCCAGCAGATCTACAAAGTTCGCCAGCAGATCTACAAAGTCACAGATACATTGTCCATGTCTTTACACTAAGCCCCTCTCTATTCTAACATGTACAGAACACTCCTAGCATATTGGCTTTGGACACTCCGAGGGCATTCAGTGTCCTCAGTCATCCCCTCTTCATATGCTGCAAAAACACACTGGTGCTGCTGCATTCAGGATCTTCCATGGAAGTAGGAGTATTATTCCTGTGAGGAAACTGAGGCATGGAGAGATTAAGCCCCTTTCTCAAGGTCTGTGGCACAAACTGGAATGGAACCCAGATGTCCTGAATCCCAGCCCCAGCCTGGTATGCTGACCACTAAACCTTACTTCTGTTAAATTAAGAAATGAATAGTGCAATCTAACTTTTTTTTTTTTTGCTACCAAAAATTGTCACTTTCCACCTCTCTCTAATTTTAATGTTTAAAAAGGAAGGCATTCTAAGAAATATACTTCAAGGTTAACAATAAAAATATAATCAACAGCAGACAGCTTTAGCAAATATTTTGGACAGTACTTGCTTCCTGGCTTTAGACATTAGGAAGAAAATAAATCCCCTACAGAAACACAGTACCTATATCTTATATACATTGGTGGGAAGTAAATGAGCCTGAAGTGATGTTCATTTCATAGTGGTATTGAATGCAGTAGCCTTGAAGTGCTTTGATATGAAGAGTGCTAATTAGGGCTCAGTGAGTGAATTCTGCTTGTTCTTGCACCTGTTGCTTGTTATTCAACAGGATTGTTTAGATTCCTAATCTAAGTTTTCGTTACAGAAACTACTCTTTCCACTGTTATTTGTGCAGTTAAACTTTTAAAACTGAAGTTCAGCCAACTGTGTTCAACAGGACTTTAACTTCAGCTTTTCTTTTTTGCTTTTTTGGGGGGGGATGGGGGAAGGGGGCTCTTGAACACAGAAGGTTTAACTTGTTAGGAGCTGTTAATTTTGTCCTCTAAAATCCACCAGAAATAAAATTATATAATCACTTTTACAAACCTGTACTAAAAATAGGAGTAGCTCAGCCAAATGCCATTGCAATTTTTTTTTTAAGACCTGGGACTCCAATTTTGTCAGAGGTATGGAAATGCAAATATTTCTGTTGCTTTATCAGACAATCAAGCAGGATCTCACTGCAAGACAGACATGGGTTTGTATTTGTATAATCCTCATTCGCATGGGGGTGGGGGTGGTGGGGGGGGGGAATACTGCATATGTATTTCTAACTCATGACTATAAAAAAATAATACTATTTGTACTTGGAGCTGATCCCTCATGGGGTTTCATAATCACAAACCATAATTAACCCAAAGCAAAGAAAGAAAGGTACAAAGGGGCACAGGTTTCAGCTAGGGATTTTTTCATGATACTTAAACCCAAAGGATTTTTTTTAAGCCATGCAGTTAACTTATCTTAGAATCCTGTTCAAAATAAAACCTAGATCTAGAGACACCTGATAGCTTGCTCATATTAATTTAGTTACATGCCTCATGGGAACTTGCCACATTTAAAGGACATATGAGCACAATATATGATATTCAGAAAATATTAAGCTATTACTTTAAAATGATGACACTGCTACTTACTTTGCCCTGCAGATCATTTCAAATTGAATGTGCTAAAGCTGGGCCATTAAGTTTTCACAAGGATATAACTATTGCATACACAGAATCACTTTAAAATAGGGAAAAGCTACAATCTGTTTTTTTCCCCCACTGATTATTGTGATTCTTCTTGAACTGTGCAAATTTAATACAGGAACAAGTATTGTTTCCTCCAAATCTGCAGGATGAATTGAGAGATGAGGTGTATTTTTTCCTCCTTTCTAAATAGGAGTAGAAAATGACAGAACTTTAAGGGGAAAAAAATAATTCCTGCAAAATAAATAACAATGCCTTATAAATGTGCAGTAACTAACATCAAATTCTTCTGCTTCAGATAAGCTATGATGATCTCCATACCTGCAACCAGCTGAGGGGTTTTCTTCAGTTCCCTGTATCCTGGAGGTTATTTTATATCCAATGGAGTGATTAAGTGTGGTCTCCCTCTGCTGCTTTCAGTTCTGACTCAACCAGGCTGCTGCAGATGCCCATAAGAGCTCAATTTAAAAGAGCTGCGAATGAAGAGAGCACGCCTTGCTTTGCAGGGTCTCAGGCTAGCTTTGGTGCAGATATGAAAGGAACACTGGAGGCTCAGCACTGACTCTTCTCAGGCACTGCGTGGGGATATCATCAAAGACTAAGCTTTCTATTGGCTCTGATCACCAAACAAATCACACCAGCCACCCCCTGCCTCCACCCGCCCCCCTCTCCACTCAGCGCTTGTTTCTCATCTAACCCACAAACATTACAGCTACAGACACTTCAGTGGCTTGCTGTGTTTCTGCTTTCCTCCTTCCAGGCTGTGGATTTACAACCTTGTGGTCAGCTCTACCATTTTTTTTTTTTAATCAGACTTCCAATCCAAGCCCTCCTGTTTCTGTAGGGAAATCCTCCCTGTACTAACCCACCGAAAAACAGCCCCTTTAGATCTTCTTCCTTTTATTGAAGGACCTGCAATGTTAAGAATACATGAAGATTGTGATTGTGTGCAATGCTTGACATTCGAATACATTAGTTTTCTTGAGTTTTTTTTTTTTTAAAGTCCCTTACTTGTAAAATTAAAAGTTTGCAGAGCCTAATTACCTGGGGAATAAAAAGGTGAAATCTTCAGCTGAGGCAGAACAAAGTCCTCATTACCTGTGCTTTCCTTGTAGAAGTTGGGCTATTATTCCAATATTTGTTTACTGAAGGAAAGGAAGCCATTTATAATCTGCATCAAATCAGCCATTTACACAGAAAAAGAAACCATGATGCGAAAGCGCTTCTTCCCTGGGTCTGAATTTATTTAATCAGAGCAACTGAAATGACTCCTGCTTCCTGCTGGAATGTTGGGGCTGCTCTTTCTTTCACAGGATGGGTCACGGTGGCTTGTGGGGTAGGATTCTTTTGCAACCAGGGTTTGTGCACAGTTTTGGGTTCAATTCTGAGTCCTTTCTTCTGAGAAAACTGACAGTCCTGTGCCTTTAGTATGACCCTATTTTTAAACAAGAATATAGTCGACACAGATAAATAGGTTGTTTTGGGTTCTCTCGGTGCAGGAAGATGTTGTAACATTTCCTGTTAACATGCTGGCACAGTTGCATATGAAAATTAGGGAGAACAGAATGTATCCGTGATAACAGATGCATCCTTAATTTAGGCTATGACACACACTTGACTGGGGCTGTTGAATTAAGTAAGATGCATTGGTTGTCATTAAAAGTCACCATTTACCCAAATTTAGCACACCATGGCACCTGAAATACAGGGAAATAGAGTTCCTGGCATACACCTGTATGCTAACGGTGGGAAAATGCTGAGTCTGAAATGGTGCCCTCTGTAGCACTTATTTCAGCGGTTACTCTTTAGTGATCAGACTGTTGGATAGTCTTCCTCATTCACTGTTCAGTAGGTATATCATTTGTCTCTTTTGGGTGTACTAAATTTTTTGATAAACTTTGGTTTTTTTCTGGCAAAAGTCAGAAAAATAAATATAGGAAATAGAAGTACTGAGAAAATTTTAAAATAGAGATATTAAGAAAAAACTACACTGGGATTTCATTCACCACTGGCTACAATATCGCTGAACTCAATTGAGTTGCTCCACTGTAAAACAGAAATAATTCAGAAATTCATCAGGTCCTTTATTATTAATTATTTTATTTATTGCCTATCTTCCGCTCAATGGATAAAATTAAGTTATGAGCCTGGAGCCAAAGATGCATTTCCAGCAGCCTGGCTGACAGCACCTGGAACAGTTACATCAGCAGCACATCTGGACAGTGGCCACTGCTCATCTCTATGCCCCAGCTCACACTTACATTTCCTTGTTACTTCAAGAACAGCTGTATTTCTTCCTTCATGTGACTGTTTCAAATTACAGTATCTTCCTTTCTCTTCTTTATTTCCCAAGTTACACAACAGTGAGTGTTCTGAACTGTCCCATTTTAAATGCAACAACTTCTCTTTCAGATCCTCCTGTGCTTGCCTCTGTGGACCAACTCTCCCCAAACTACCTTTAAACTGAGCAAAGCTTACCGTATCATCCTCATGCATGAATGATACCATTTCCACTTTTTTCCACCTTAATGGATGGTTGGTACTTTGTTTTTCCCCCAGAAAATGATGAGCACGAGCTGAAGCAAAAATTTTCAGCCTGGCAGGCTGCTCTGATAAGATCCATTGTACCATCCCCTCCCTCAGTTCCCATTCATCTTGCTTATTGACGCTACATAGATTTTTTTCCTTATGTCTTGCCTGGCAGTGAGAAAATGCTCTGAGTCTCCTACAGCAATCTTAGTTTAGTAAATCTCTTTTGCTCTCTGATCTGACTTAAGCACTCCTTATGGTAAAATAACCTCTGACTCAACATGACTCTGTGTACCGTGTGCTGCTCTGTCCCATTGTCCATTCAACTGATGTGCTGTTGAATTCCTTTGCACTTTGACTGGCTTCCCCTCAGCCCAAGTTCATTTTAATAGCTTTTCAGCTGTCTGTTTTATTTGTGTCTGCTTAAGTGCTTATTTAATCTTTTCTTTTAAAATCTTTACATTCCCTACATACCTTCAAGGATTACAAAAACCTGTGGAAGGTCATTATAGTTATAAAATAGTTTGACTTGATAAATAGAATCATAGAATCATAGAATATCAGGGTTGGAAGGGACCTCAGGAGGTCATCTAGTCCAACCCCCTGTTCAAAAGCAGGACCAATCCCCAATTAAATCATCCCAGCCAGGGCTTTGTCAAGCCTGACCTTAAAAACTTCTAAGGAAGGAGATTCCACCACCTCCCTAGGCAACGCATTCCAGTGTTTCACCACCCTCCTAGTGAAAAAGTTTTTCCTAATATCCAACCTAAACCTCCCCCACTGCAACTTGAGACCATTACTCCTTGTCCTGTACTCTTCTACCACTGAGAATAGTCTGGAACCATCCTCTCTGGAACCACCTCTCAGGTAGTTGAAAGCAGCTATCAAATCCCCCCTCATTCTTCTCTTCTGCAGACTAAACAATCCCAGTTCCTCAGCCTCTCCTCATAAGTCATGTGTTCCAGTCCCCTAATCATTTTTGTTGCCCTTCGCTGGACTCTTTCCAATTTATCCACATCCTTCTTGTAGTGTGGGGCCCAAAACTGGACACAGTACTCCAGATGAGGCCTCACCAATGTCGAATAGAGGGGGACGATCACGTCCCTCGATCTGCTCACTATGCCCCTACTTATACATCCCAAAATGCCATTGGCCTTCTTGGCAACAAGGGCACACTGCTGACTCATATCCAGCTTCTCGTCCACTGTCACCCCTAGGTCCTTTTCTGCAGAACTGCTGCCTAGCCATTCGGTACCTAGTCTGTAGCTGTGCATTGGGTTAGAATCATAGAATCATAGAATAATAGAATATCAGGGTTGGAAGGGACCCCAGAAGGTCATCTAGTCCAACCCCCTGCTCAAAGCAGGACCAATTCCCAGTTAAATCATCCCAGCCAGGGCTTTGTCAAGCCTGACCTTAAAAACCTCTAAGGAAGGAGATTCTACCACCTCCCTAGGTAACGCATTCCAGTGTTTCACCACCCTCTTAGTGAAAAAGTTTTTCCGAATATCCAATCTAAACCTCCCCCACTGCAACTTGAGACCATTACTCCTCGTTCTGTCATCTGCTACCATTGAGAACAGTCTAGAGCCATCCTCTTTGGAACCCCCTTTCAGGTAGTTGAAAGCAGCTATCAAATCCCCCCTCATTCTTCTCTTCTGCAGGCTAAACAATCCCAGCTCCCTCAGCCTCTCCTCATAACTCATGTGTTCCAGTCCCCTAATCATTTTTGTTGCCCTTCGCTGGACTCTCTCCAATTTATCCACATCCTTCTTGAAGTGTGGGGCCCAAAACTGGACACAGTACTCCAGATGAGGCCTCACCAATGTCGAATAGAGGGGAACGATCACGTCCCTCGATCTGCTCGCTATGCCCCTACTTATACATCCCAAAATGGCATTGGCCTTCTTGGCAACAAGGGCACACTGCTTACTCATATCCAGCTTCTCGTCCACTATCACCCCTAGGTCCTTTTCCGCAGAACTGCTGCCTAGCCATTCGGTCCCTAGTCTGTAGCTGTGCATTGGGTTCTTCCGTCCTAAGTGCAGGACCCTGCACTTATCCTTATTGAACCTCATCAGATTTCTTTTGGCCCAATCCTCCAATTTGTCTAGGTCTTTCTGTATCCTATCCCTCCCCTCCAGCGTATCTACCACTCCTCCCAGTTTAGTATCATCCGCAAATTTGCTGAGAGTGCAATCCACACCATCCTCTAGATCATTTATGAAGATATTGAACAAAACCGGCCCCAGGACCGACCCTTGGGGTACTCCACTTGATACCGGCTGCCAACTAGATATGGAGCCATTTATCACTACCCGTTGAGCCCGACAATCTAGCCAGCTTTCTACCCACCTTGTAGTGCATTCATCCAGCCCATACTTCCTTAACTTGCTGACAAGAATACTGTGGGAGACCGTGTCAAAAGCTTTACTAAAGTCAAGAAACAATACATCCACTGCTTTCCCTTCATCCACAGAACCAGTAATCTCATCATAGAAGGCGATTAGATTAGTCAGGCATGACCTTCCCTTGGTGAATCCATGCTGGCTGTTCCTGATCACTTTCCTCTCATGCAAGTGCTTCAGGATTGATTCTTTGAGGACCTGCTCCATGATTTTTCCAGGGACTGAAGTGAGGCTGACTGGCCTGTAGTTCCCAGGATCCTCCTTCTTCCCTTTTTTAAAGATTGGCACTACATTAGCCTTTTTTCAGTCATCCGGGACTTCCCCGGTTCGCCACGAGTTTTCAAAGATAATGGCCAATGGCTCTGCAATCACAGCCGCCAATACCTTCAGCACTCTCGGATGCAACTCGTCCGGCCCCATGGACTTGTGCACGTCCAGCTTTTCTAAATAGTCCCTAACCACCTCTATCTCCACAGAGGGCTGGCCATCTCTTCCCCATTTTGTGATGCCCAGCGTAGCAGTCTGGGAGCTGACCTTGTTAGTGAAAACAGAGGCAAAAAAAGCATTGAGTACATTAGCTTTTTCCACATCCTCTGTCACTAGTTTGCCTCCCTCATTCAGTAAGGGGCCCACACATTCCTTGGCTTTCTTCTTGTTGCCAACATACCTGAAGAAACCCTTCTTGTTACT